TGAGGGCACCACAGAGACCTGTTCTCCTGCTACCACCTCCCTGGAAGGATCAGTGATGTGCAGGGTCCAGGAACAAGCCCTCACACCAGTGCTGGACACCAATCTCCCCTCCTTGCCTGCAGTGCAACAGCAAAGGGATTGCTTGCCCATAACCTATCCTCTCCCGCTGGACACCTGGGTTGGCTTATCTCTCTTTGGTAACCTTCCATATCTGACCAAACCCACATGAGAACTGGGGGATCTCTGCACCCTACAGAGCTGACAGGGAAGGAACATGGGTACCTCAGATGGGAATCATCCAGCCCTTCCCAGAGGCCTACAATGAGGCGCAACAATCCATGTCCCAGCGTGTCCATGCCTCACCTGGGGCAGGAACCCCAAGTGACCAGCCCATGCACAGCTCCCACCTTTACTCACATGAACTCTAAGGTCTGACTTGAAAATACTTGTCCGTGAGAAGAGGTCCCAAGGAAAATGGGCAAAGCTGCCTGTGGGTCCCTCAATTCAGGTGATTTTCAGCACCAGGAGAAAAGCAGCAAAACATCAAGGCTAAAGGAAGAACCTGCGGCTTGCTTGCTTTTGCTTTCAAACACAGGCATGTGTGAAAAGGAAGAGTTTAAATAACAAATCTGTTTGCCTAAGCACCTATAGGCTGAACTACAAACCGGATCAGGAATCCTGGTGCTTCTAATCCTGTTTGGACAAAATCAGGAACGCAGTGGTGCTAAGAGGAATGTGAACAACTTAGAGTCTGCCTTTCTCCTAAGGAGCTTCTCCCTTGTTTCTCTTCCAACAAGGAAGCTGGATGACGACTGCAGCCAGAAGAGAAACAAGCAGTTTATTGTAACTGCAAGCATATGACAAAAAGGGTCAAGAATCAGTAAGGAAACGGAAGGAGATGAGCTGAAGGCAGTAAGATGCCAAACCAAATGATATCAATGCCATCTTCCAAGTTTATCCCATTACAACAATAAAGCCCAGTATGCCTTTCAGAAGTGCCACATTTCCCCCTCCTAAAACACAAGACAAGGAGCAGCTGGGCAGTGAAGGCGCATTCGCACATTCAAAGAAGGACAAGCCCATCCCAAAGGCACGAGTTCAGCAAATTGAAAGTCAAACTCTGCAGTACACAAGTCCAGAAACCACTTGGGACACATCCCAAAACTCGCTGCTTGTGTCTAGCAGCATTTACAGCACAGCCCTGTGACATGCAGCCTCCTGTGTCCTTTGTGAGTTGCAGCAGTTCCACAGGAAGGAGCAGGGTAGATCTTGCTCAGAAAAGCTGCAACTTCTCCATCCCTGAAAGTATCCAAGGCCAGGCTGGACAGGGCTTGGAGCAACCTGGGAGAGTGGAAGGTGTCCCTGCCCATGGCAGGGGGTGGGATGGGGATGAGCCTTAAAATCCCTTCCAACCCAAGCTTTTTATAGGATAGGATTTGCGATTCCATGATCCTATGATCTTGTGGAACATGAACTCTTGGGTTATTTTCTCTGGTAAATGTACATTTTGCCAAGGGCTCGCTTGCCAAGGACTCTGAAGACTAAATCTGGGACCAGAGCACTTGCATGTGACACATCCAAGCCTGAACAACTTCCCAAGTGCCTGCCAAAGGGAGCAAAAGCAAAAGGCATTGAGCCAGCCCTCCCTGTGACGTCTTCATGACGCCAGGGTGATTATGTGGTCTCCTTCAACAAAACAGCTGATGTGGAAATGGAGGGGATGATAAAGACTCTTTCTGCATCTGAGCTGTGCATCCCTATGCAGCAGATGTTCCCTGGTGTGCAGTAAAAAGCACGTCTTATGAATGGAGAACACCTTCAAAAGAGTAATTTTTGGCAGCACTTCGGTGAATTAGTGCCCAAATCCTACTGCAGACTCCTGTGAGTAAGGAAGGATGAAGAGGTAATGGCTCATGAGCTGAGCCAAGGCAATGACCTCACGAGCTCCTGGTCATGAAGCTTTCAAAAATAAAAACCTGTTCACCAGTAAAAACAAGAACCTCAGATGGATTTTGAAAGGATGGGCCAAGAGAAAGCTTCAAATTTCGAGTTGTGGAGGAGTTGTGAAGCCTGTGCATGTCCACAAGATGGCAGAGCACACCATGCTGTGAGAGCATCCCCAAGGACTGGGATGCACGAATTCCAAACAAAAGAAGAGGATCTGGGGAAAGGTCGCCTATTTTGCTTTGTTTATTTTTCCACCTTTTAATTGCCAAACAGTCATAGGCTTTCCCTGCAATATTTTGTTAAAATACTATTGATAGATTTCAGCAGAAAAACTCATGAATAGGGGGATATTAACACCCAGATATCCGGAACAGTCTGCTCAACCCCCAGACAACCACAATATTCTGCTTAATTAGGGACATCTCTGCATGTCTCTGTAGACACCTATACAGACCCGGATGTACACTGGAGATTAGTTCAAGATTCATGTCCTGTGTCTATCACACTTTAACACCAAAGGCACACAAATCTCCAAGCAGCCTGTAGGCAAGGCTCCCTGTCTCTCTCAAACATGGTGCTTTTAACCTTTCCATGACTGCTGAAGAACACCCAGCAGCTAAACACTTCCATCTGAATTGTGCTGGAGGATGCTTGGACCACCCCAGTTGTGCTGGAGGGTGCTTGGACTGGTTCAGTCACACTGGAGGATGCTCAGACTACCCCAGTGGAGCTGGAGGATGCTCAGACTGGCCCCTCCATCTGTGCTTGCCTGCTGCAAGCAGCCCGTGAGCTCTCAAACCCAGAACAGGAGTTTATGTATCACCAACCTGAAAAGCCTCTTCCTCAGGATGCAACCCCCATGAACATAACAACCCCACGGGGTGAAGGATTTTCCTTTCAGAGGCTCACACAAAGGAACATCTTCCCTTATGCCCCCCCTCCACTGCTCCACAGAGCCATTTAAAACAAGGGATGAGGAGCAGCAAAATCACTGTCAGCATTGCACGGCTGCATTAAAATCCAGTTAACAATGATATGTCAGGATTAAGCCAGCTGCCTGCAAGTATTTCACTTGTCCATGTTGAACAAGATCAACCCTCACCCAGAGCCACCTGGGTCCTAGCTCCCACAGACACATATGGCTGCCTGCACATGCCAAGGTAAGCATGTCTGCAAATCAATGCAGCACTGCACGAGTCTGCCTGAGGCACGAACAAAACATCGAATCCAGCATTCCCACTAGATCTTCCAGCTTTGAGATGTCACACCAATAATTAAGCCAGATATTAATGGATATATTGGAATGAATTCATTATATTCAATGTACTCCTAGGACATGATGAAATGATAGCCAGACCAGGAGGACCTAGCTTATTTAACAGCTGTTGATTAAAACCCTCTTGAAGGTAATCAGCTCCTCGCACCAAAGATGGTTTGATTCTTCATTTCCAATTATCCCCCAGGGAAACTAACTGTATTTTGCAGAATTAATGGGGTTTGTATCAGCAGAACCTGATGTTTTTTCCCTGTGACCTAAAGTCCAGACATACCAAACATGGAAGAGACTGAGCAGGAAGCAGCTGCAGGCAGTGCTCCTCCCTGCCAAAGTCAGCTGCCCTTCTCCACTCCTTCATGCACTCAGTGCCAAATAGTTCACCCAAAAGAAACAGAAAGGCAGATTGTCACATGGTCTGCAGGATGAGCAAAGCTCTTCCTCACATGATGTGGGAGCAAGAAGCCTGGCTGCTGGAATCCAAAATGCAAGGAATTCTCAGAACTTTGGGGCTGTAAACCAAAGCTTAGAATGAAAAGAGATAAACACAAGATTTGATTTGAGACCTTGGAAAAGGCTCCCAAACTTAAGTGCTAAAAGCGAGAATGTAGATTTATAGTTTAAGGCAGACACAGGTTAAGCTAAGTAGAAGAAAGTTTAGAGCTTTTGAGTTTAAGACAGGAAAAATAAAAGTGGTTACAGAGGTGAACAAGGAGTTTAGAATGCAGTGCTGTAGGTTTGTGTATCACAACATGATTGGCTAAGAAAGCTCACACTGCAGCATAGGTCCGTAAGACAAAATATTTAAGGGTTAGGTCAAAAACATAAATATCCTTGTTGGCAGTTTATTACTTAATAAATCCTTAAAAGGTCTTGTAACTAGAGGTCTTGTGACCTTCTGAACCATGCAATGAAGATGTGAGCCAAACTCAGCCTTCCTGCCTATGTAAAAGATTAAAAAAAAAATAAATCACACCATCTAAACCTACTAGGAGGTCTCATTTCTAATTCATTCAAAATTCCCACACTTGGTGAGCTCTTGGCTCAGCACTGAAAAGGGTAACACTACCACAGCACATGAGATGTTTTCATCCTTGCCTCTAGAGGCAAAGAGGTTTCAGCAAAAACACGCTGAGCATCCTCTGAAACTTGCCTAACTTAGGGAACTCAGCTCCTTTGAGGACTAGGGCTCTGTAAAATGGAAGACTACATGATGCTGACAAATTGACTTTTTCAACCTCTCTTCTGAACTGCAGGGTCTCATCCTGCTATTCCACAACATTCCACGCTTCAGAGGTCATTTAACCAGAACTGCCAAAACTGCACAGAGAGATCTGGAGAAAGAACAGGCTGGAGAGAACACACACATGGATTACCACTGCATGTAAACATGGGCACTGCCCAAAGGGGCAATACCTGGGTCAGCACACAGGCACTGCTGGCTTCCTGGCAGCAATTTATTTTGGAGCTGTCAAGAGGGGATGATGCTTTTCAGAATATCCTTTTCTTCAACATATGAGCCCTGTGTACATCCACATGTATACACACATAGGTATATACTGCCCTCAGTGTTATCACCTCCCAACAAAGTCTGGGTGGTAATTGCCCTTGCCCAGCACCAACACCTGAAACCACAGGCACAAATCTCCATCCCAACCCCTAAGGGACCACAGCCCAGCAGCTCTCCCACTCCTGAGGAGGTTTCCTAAGGGAACAGAAGGCAGGGAAGGCTCTGCTGCTGGTGCCCACCATGGCAGGGGCAGGTGTCCTCATCACCTACCTGCCACACTGGAAGGACTTTCTCTATGTCGTTCAGGTTGATGCTGTCACCATCCTCGTACTTCCCCTTTCCAAGCCTGTGGCAAGAGGAAAACAAAACAAAAGCACGTGAAAACTTGTTGGAGACACAGTTAATTTTCTATTACAGCACAAGGGGAATATCAGTTGTTGCTGCAAAGGCCTCTCATGGAAACAAAGAGGCTCTCTCTGGAGCAAGTGTGCTGTGCCTCCAAAACACTCCCACGCAGGCGTAAAGCTGTTAATACAAAATTAAATGCTTTGCTCAGTCCTCTCCACCTGCACCATCTGCCACAGCTTGCAAACACTTTTGGTAGTAGCAGCAGTGAGAAAATCAAAGGCAGTCCTGAGCCCAGACCAAGCAAAACTGAAAGCACAGCCCACCTGGACAGCAGAAATGAGAGCACAAAGAGAGTAATGAAAAACGTTTCCTTTGAAGCGCTGCTCATTTGCTGGTCTCCACGGGAGCTCCAGCTCCCCTGATGAGAAAGGTGTTGAAAATCAGCAAACACACACCTCAGACAGGAAGCAGCAATCAATACAAATATAAACAGACAATTTGAAAGACAAAGAAATTGGGATGAGAAGTCAAGCACTCACACACCATACACAGAATTGGCAGCTGAAGGACTTTCTTGGAACAAGAAATCAAAAAAACCAATTGAAAGATAATTACTAGTTTGGTGCAAAGAGTTTGTGATGATACAGAAAAAGAAAGAAATGGTCAATAATTATCATTCTTCTATGTTCACAAACAACAGAGATGGTCTTTCTTCATTATGCAAGAATGATTTTTTTTTTTTTGGTCAGTTAGAAGCAAGATAGTGTTAAATAAGATACAGCAGAGACTTTGGTAGCAGCAGACTCAGGTAATCAGTGCCTAGAAGTCAGAGAAAAACAGATCTTGGAATTAGAGAAAATGGGAGAAAAAAATTGAGAAAAACAGCACATGCTGAAGTACCAGGCTCAAAATCCAGCAAACTGAAGGGAAGCAATTTAATTAACCCTAATCAACTTGGGAACCCTGGTTTAGTAAAAGGTATCTCTGACCATGGCAGGGGGGCTGGACTAGATGATCTTGAAGATCCCTTCCAACCCAAACCATTCTGTGATTCTGTATTTATTGGAAATCAGAGGTGCTCAACAATTGACTTTCCATCATAGCTGAAATGCTGACTGACTTACAAAGGCAAGAAAATAGTGTGCATACACATACAGAAGCACAAATCTGAAAAAATATTTATATGTATGTATTCATATAGATTAGAAAAATCATGTCACACATCTGGGTACAAACAGTGCCAGCTGCAGGTGCAGAACACAAGTGTATTGTAGGAAAAGGTCATCTGAAAAGGGTGGGGACTGTCCCAGGCTGAATTTCTGATGCTGAACTGTGGCAAAAAGGCACAGGGATGAAGAGGAGGCAGGGATTAGGGGGAAGAAGGCAGCTTTCCTCTGGAGACAGCATGGCTGAGCCCCAGCTACAGAACCACAGGCAGTGCTGGCAATCGTGTTTCAAAGAGGCCACAAAGGGAAATTCCTTAGAGCACCTGAAAAACTCAAGTGATACATGTGCTTGGGAGATACCTGGAACGAAGAGAAAATACCAGCTACAAAAGGATGTTTGATCTGGAAGAGTGCAAGCAGAGCAAGAGCTAGCACCGGAAATTAAAGCCAAATAAATTCAGGTCAGAAACACAGCACAGCTCCCTGCTTTTTCTTAACTGTTCCACTTGAGATTACTCAGCATGCCACCAAACAGCATCTCCCTATAAAAGCAGGTGTCTCCCTGGAGGAAAACGTTTCGCCCAACCAAAAGTCACTTGAGGTCACACAACTGGATGCAACTCCATGGCCAGCCTTGGGCAACTGATCAGACTGAGGAATAAAATGGTTCTTTTAGTGTTGAAAACACACACTGAACAGCATAGTCCTTTCTTTCCCCCCTATTATTTTTTTCACTGCACAGCTAAATTTTTTAAAAAAGCTTCCCATTCAAGCAAGAGGGGAAAATGCCTAGCTAGCAGGTGGAGATTCATGGAGGATCAGCAAGCTGAATCTCGGCACAGATTCACCACAGAGAGCTGATGAATGCACAATACAGTCAGCTTTAGAAATCAAAAAAATAAGAACAATTTTGTCTTTCTTTGTGCTTCCTCTGTCCTAGCCAGGTTACTTACATGGCATGCATTTTGGAACATGCACTGTTTTATGCTGATAGCATCTGCTTAACTTTTCTGCAGATACAATAATTTTTACTCCACTTTAACAGCTGCAACATTTAGGAGTGATTAAATATCTCACCTCCACACTGCCTCCTCTACCTGTTTGCAATTTGGGCATTCACAATACATTAAGAACCAGAGGAAAAACACAACAACAACCCTGCTGCATCCTCCCTGCAGCAGCTGTCACTGACAGGATCACTAGGCTAGTGCCATCAACCATGGAGCACATATTATATCTTTTTTTACAGAGGAAGTACATTATATCTTATTTTACAGAGGGCCCCTTCATACCATTTTTCAAACTCATATGAAAAAATCAGATTGAACTTGACTAAGAGACTTTGTGACTTAGAAATTTAGTGTTGTGTTGCTCCAAATGTTCTGAAAATTGCCCTTTATAAATCTGCAGCATACCTTACAGAGCAGAAAAAAAGGTTGTCTGAGTCTTCCTGTCCCTGTATGGTACAGGAGCCTACTGCAGATGCTGAGCCTGGGCTGGTATGGGATTTCTGGCCTGGCTGGATGTTTCCGATTGTTTTCCAATTGTTCTAATAACAATTGTTCTAATAACAATTCTAAACTTGTCTTCTAAACAAGATGTGCAGACCAGGCATATGGCACTGGCCAGTACTTTGGCAAAACCAAATTATCAGCAGAAAAATGTTTCCAAGAGAAGATTTCCACCCCTGCAAACAAAATGACAGTGACGGAACATCAGCTGCAACCCCATCTTTTAGACCTGTTCTAATTTTTTTCCTTCCTCTATGCTCTGAGTGATAGCATGAGGAAAACCCGATCTACAGAATCATGGAATTGTTATGGTTGGAAAAGACCTCTGGGAGCACCAAGTCCAAGCATTCCCTTGGCCCTGCCAAGGGCATCACTGACCAGTGTCCCCAAGTGCCACATCCACATGGTTTTTAAACTCTTCAGGGATGGCAACTCCATCCTCTGCCCTGGGCAGCTGTGCCAGGGCTGGACAAGCCTTTCCATGAAGAAACGGTTCCTAACATCCAACCTACACATCCCCATATGCAACGTGAGGCCTTTGCCCTTATCCTATCATTTGTTACAGGGCAGAAGAGCCCAGCTCCTACCTGGCTGCACCCTCCTGAGTGGGAGTGATTGTTTCTCCATCTGCAGAGAACCTGCAGGGAAATGGTGATTCCCATCCAGGCAACGCTGGTGAGCCACTTGGTGCAGCACACATTTACTTGGTTTGACCAACCAACAACCAGTAAGGAATCCAGAAATACCAGGGAAACCTGTGGAGGCTGTCACAACCAAAGGGAGCTGTTGAATGTTTTCACAGTTTTATGAAACACATTGATGCTCTCTCCTTCCCTGAACTCTTGCTGGGAAGAACAGTGTCATTCACAGGAACTGTAACCAGGTCAGCACCAAGCCAGGATCTTTCCTCCAATATCCAGAGATGTCTAAATTTAGAACACCAGGATCTAGGATACTTGGATCTAGAGTTATTTAAACACTGAGCTGTACCAGGCAATGCAAAAATACAGAGAAGAACTCTGCTCCACCTCAGAACTGGATGACAGAGGAGCCAGTCAGACTGATCATGGCACTCTCAAACTCTCTGAACAGTCCAGTGCTTCTTCCCATGTCCTCTGTGTGAGGTGTGCCACCAAGCCAGAGTTCCTAGAGCAAGGGAGAAGACAGACCTTCCTGGAGAGCACAGTATTGCAGACACAGCACTCACCCTTCTCTGTCTATGTGAGGCAATGGGTGTTTGGAGGTGTTTCGCAGCTTTCTGTGAAACTGGGTGAAATCTAGTTTTTCAGGCTGCAAGTCCCACGTTGCACCACTAGGAGAGAAAAACAGGGAAAAACAGAGAAAGGAAGTCCACTACTAATTAAACACCACGGAGCTGAAGAGCAGAGGGTACACTGGAGCTTGCAGACAAGGAAAGCTGGCATTTCTGGAAGCACCACTCCTTGCTCCAGAGCATGTGGATGTGAGCCTCCAGCCTTCACACTGCTGCGTCTCTTTTCATTTTTCTTGTTTTTTAGATATGCTGAGCTCTTGGGGCTTGATCTAAGCCTCTAATTTTGATACAGAAGACACCCTGCAAGATATACTTGCTCTCTGTACCAAGAAGGTATTGCAACAGGTCCATGAAATGATGTTCTCTCTGGTCCTGCACAACCTGTCTGCTCCAGTGACTCAAGATTATGCAGATTATGCATAAAACTGGACAGGAAGGATATTTCACTGCTTTCACTGAGACAGCAGCTGAAGAGTTCTTCCCAGCAGTTAAGAAGCCAACACATAATGATTCCTCCAACTAATGGGAGAGTAAAATGCCAAAGCAGCAGCTCAGAGCTGACTCAAGTCTTGCCTGTGCAGTTCTGGGGGGACTAAAAGTAATTGTACTGGTATTGGTTTCAGGTGTTTGGACTGAAAACCCATCCAGTGGCCTCTTCAAAATGCACAGGATGCTTTAAATAGACTGTTCTTGGTGCTACAGGCTAAATGGGAACGGGGAGGAGGAGAAGCAGTGATGTCAGCCTTACCAGGGTATTCTCTGGTGCCTGGGTACCAGCAGGATGGACATACCAGCAAGGGCTAAGACAATGCACGGTCCATCCTAAAAGTCTACCCTCCCTTAAAGCAATTTAAAATCAGCTTACCTGAAGGAGTCAAAGGTGTTGGCAGCCCAAATGTCTGTGCCCAGCATGTCAAGGCTGCTCTCCTTGTTGCCATTCTAGGAGAGATGGAAAGGTGGTTACTTGTCAGGAGGCACATGGAGCTATCCTGACCAGGGCACAGTCTCTCCCACCAGCCACGGATGTGTCTTGGCTCTGCACAAGGGATCCTGTGTTCCTGAGTGAATCCATGCAATGCAGAGACCCCTCACCTGCTGCAAAAGTGCACCGTGAAGGCAAGGAGTGACAGTGTCAGGCTCGGGGACACAGAGCTGTGCACAACACAGAGCAGAAAATGCACAAGCTCAGCTCTGACTCCAGCCCTGTCCTCCTGCCCCACGTCCACAAGCACCATCCACCAAGGTCCAGGGGCCAGGCAGAGATTCACAAAATCATTTAGGTTGGAAATGACCGCCAAGACTGAGTCCAACCTGTGCCTGATCCCCACCTGTCACCCAGCCCAGAGCACTGAGTGCCCTGTCCAGGTGTTCCTTGAACACTTCCAGGAATGGGGACTCCACCAATGCCCTGGGCAGCCTGTTCCAAGGCTTAACAATCCTTTCCATAATAAAATTCCTCCTCATGTCCAACCTGAGCCTCCCCCTGCCCAGCCTGAGGCCGTTCCCTCTGCTCCTGTCCCTGTTCCCCCC